TGACCATCTATATCTCTTGCACCAAGTGAGGTCTTACTACCGCAAGTGGGATTCCGGCGCTCTCGTATCACCTCCAGTCCTCTTCCCAGCCCAGCATTCCGCCGAGCGTCGCCTTGACGAAAGACCATACGGGCCCTCCCACTTCATGTGCAACACCACATGCGGGCCTTTTTTCTTGTCCTAGGGAACCGTACCATCGCTCTCACTCAACCGGACTTTTGGAGTTGGACCAGACTGTTGCCCTCAGACCATCCTGCCCGCCAGCCTTGAGCCGAGTCACACAATATCCTCTTATTGACAGGGAATCTGGAACTCGTATCCTGCGCTTTCCGGGGAAAGGGGAAATACTGAGACACGCCTAGCAACCGGGAAACGGTCCCTTGAAGGAGCATCGAGTCGGCCGGTCCCTCCCCACCATGGAAGCAGCTGCAAATTTCTTGAGGAGGAAGCGGTCGGCCGGGGGGGAGAAGGGCAGATCGCTTTTCTCAAAAGCACAGCAAATCCCCGCGTCGAATGCCGCCAGACCACAGAGATTGGACTTGGACCTCCCCGATCTTCCCAGGCTGGACCTCTCCGAGTTGCTTCGTTTTGATGAGGCCCAATCGAAGGCTCCCGGTCCATCTTTGCTATCGCCAGAAACAACAACAAGAGGAACAACAACAGGAATTCCAGCACCGCCCAAGTCCACGCCGCCAACCACAACAACAACGCCGATATCAGCAGCGCCGACGTCAGCGACGTCAGCTTTGAGCCCATTGGCCAAGAAGCTGCCTGTTGCACCAATCCAGACTCGTACTGGTATCTCTGGTCCAACAACGGGTCCTCCCTCTGCGCCGCCTCCTCCGCCGCCACAGCAAGTAAAGCCAAAGCCGCTGCCAGCGCCCAGGTCTGCTGTGGAAGCACCCAGTTGGGAAAGGACCGGGTCGCAGCAGCCCGGAGCTGATAGGCAGAAGGCAGCCACTATGATCACGACTGCCAACGCGGCCTCCACGCCCACTACCCCAACGGCTGCTTCCCACGTCAAACCTTGGAATGCTCCGCTACCGCCGCTCCCGCCTATGTCGATACCCCGACGGCCTGTTCGTGGTGGCATAAGTTCCCCTACTTCGCCTTCGCTTGTGACTTCTCCCAAACCGGTTGCGGCTTCCCCAGACTCGCCCACCCTGAGGCCCATCGCAGCTTCCCGGCCATCCTCTCCACCCCGCTCAGCCCCAGCCCCGGCTTCGGTTCCGGCTCCGGCTTCGGCCTCGGCCCCGGCAAATCGCAAGCCCGCCGTGTCGCCCAACACTTCGGTTCCTGTGTCACCAGCTGGCTCGTTGTCCAGCATATTGTGGGCATATTCGGATGGCAGTGCTGGATCAACCCCGAGATCCTCGACAAACTCTACCCATAGCTTTCCCGGTTCCAAGGAGCCCAACCCAAGCACAGCGTCTTCGAGAGTAGCCGGACAAGTCGCATCTTCGAACCACCATGAACAAAAGAGGGAAGAAGACAGACCCCGAAAGTTCGCACAGTCAGAGCGAGAATTGCCGCCGGCACCGCCCGCCCCTCCAGTGAAAGAGAAAGACTCGCAGCCCACAAGCCGTCAAAGGCCGCAGACGCCGCCAAAGATTCCGCGACTTCAAACGCAATCTGAACAAGCTTCGACAGGGGCGCCAATCGCGCCGATCTCGATCAACGGCTCAAACACATCGCCCCAGCAAGGAGAGCTTTGGAGACGGAGATCGGTGAAGAGTGAAAAGAACCTGGTGGTTGCGGACCTTAAACTTGATTCCAGCAACGGATCCACCGCAGAATCAGCCCAGATTCAGTCTCATGCTGCTTCGCGCACCGCCGACGCCCAGCCAACAGTAACACCGCCTTTGTCGCCAGGGCACATCGACGCATCCCCACCTGCAGCCAATAACAATACCCGTGCCCCAGTGCATAGGACCACTGCCAATGCTCTTCCTGGGAGAAACATTCGTCCTTCAGCCTCTCGCCAACAAGTCATTCCCCAGGTTCAGGATACGATGGGCCAAGCCAAATCCCACCTGAGAAAGAAGAGCCGCGACGACACTCAGAGAGCGGGTACGCCAGCGGAAAAGGCAGCTGTGTCGCAACCGACATCCGAAGCCAGCAATGGGCTGCTTGCCGCCGCCGCCGCCACTACCGCTCCTTCCGTCGCCCGCCATCCCGCACCCGAATATGGACAGTACGAAGTCAGGCAACCAAATGGAGATTGGGAACCGAACGCACCACCGGCACAACAACAACAACAAGTACCATTGACGAATGGACAGGGAGGAAACAGGCCTGCGATTCAGCGAAAAGCAATTGGAGGACATGACTCTCAGGTGCGGCCAGTGAACAATTCGAACCTGGCCCCAAGCGACACAAACAATGGTGGTGCCAATGGTGGTGCCGGGCTCTCCGTGCGCTCGCCTGTTGGACTCCCCGCTTCTCCTGCGGCCAACCGGGGGCGCCCCGTAGAGCGACCCCCGCCCCCCAACGCGGCCCCGTACCCCACTCGAACCACTTCTAAAACCAGCAACGGATACCACCAACCCGCGAACGGAAACCCAGCTCCTCAAATTCAGGTCCAGGACGCATACCGGCAATACTCCAATGGCACCATAGATCATGGCTCCCTCTCGGAATCCGGATCCGCTGTATCGGTCGAGACCCTCAAGCCGCCGAAGTGCAGATACCTCGACAACGAGATCGCCGTGATTTCGGACGAGGAGGAGCCCGAGGAGCAGTCCTGGCCCGAGAGGACTGACCACCCGGGCGTGGCCCTCTTCCTGAAGAACAAGAAGAAGAAGTGGTGGGCACCACTGCCAGCCGACGGAGTGCTGGATGCGCCCCCTCTTACGGACAGGCACTACCGATGCCTCACAAGCCATAAATTCATGACGCCGAGCCGACAGCGACATAATCGAATTGCCTGCCGCACCTGTGGTGAGAGACAACATGTGGATTGCTGCATTTGCAGTTCCTGTGCCCTCAACATCTGCCCTCCCTGCGCCAAAAGCTTGAAGGTGTTTGGAGGAAACTTGAAGCAGCTTTTGCGCCATGTGGAAGAGAGCAGGCAGTTCAATGAGGAGGATGAGAGCGGCCAAATGACCCCCCTGGGAGACCACTACGCGAACCACAACGGTGGCTACTACGGGTCGCCAGCAGTTAACGGTGTGCTCTCTCCCGTTGATACACGTTAAGTGTCGATGTCATGTGGTAAGGATCGAGATATAATTTTGGGAACAAGCATAAAGAACTGCATACTGGAAGGAGAAAACAGGAGTTGGCGTTGGAATTGCTTGTTGCTATTTGTCGCATGGCCGGACAGTAATAAGTTGTACAAAGTGTTGGTATTCGGTGGTGCATATGTTTGATGCGATTTACGAGACAAGATAATGAGGAATCGTTTGTATATTCGCTGGATGGGAGAGATGATGGTGATACCCTTTTGGATTCTCTTGGGCTGGGCTGTTGTGGTTTATGATCAGTTGACTATATGTCAATCAGCTAAGAATCGTATAACCGCTGTAATGCTAAATTGAACGATGGTTTTTTATAAGACGACCTTCTGGATATGAATGCCCTGTGAACGACAACCTGGTATTGACTTGGGTGATATCAAGGAACAACTGAAATGGGCTAGACCCTCCCGTCCATCTCGATCGGTCTTCGGCAAGTACCCCTGCCGTAGTGACGTCGGGTCCCTATGCACACCGGGAGCCCAGTAACGGCCCGCAGTGATAGGCGCAGGTTTTAGCTGGTTCCAGTGCGAAGGTATGCTGAAGACCTGTGGCAGCCACGTTGGAATCGCAGATGGTCACTGAAACATTGAAAGCATTGCAGGACGGGGACGTACCTGAACATGCGGGACCTAGAGGTATGGTAGTGTAGGGAACACGTAAAATACTGTACGTAGTAGCGTTCCCATGGTAACGAAGGTACTATGTACTACTGGAACCAGCATCGCCAACCTGACCAACCTGCATATGTACATCCGTCGAACAATTGGGTTGTTCGCAGTGGCTTCGTCTATAACGCCATCCGGCATATTTCCTGGACACCCAAGCTTGGCTCTTTGCAACCCAATAACTTAGCAGACCACGGCCAAGAAGGGCACAGCTTCAGACGGGAATGAATGACGGACACTTTGAACAACACCATCCAATCCCCGCCTCCCAAGAGGAGAAAACTCTCCGTCACTATGTCTTCTTCTTCTTCTTCGTCTTTAAAGCCTTCCCTACAGCCAAGTGCACTCGATCGCACTCGATCGCTCCGGAAACCAACAAGTACCGCGAGACTGATGAAGGAGACACCGACTACCGGCGTGAATGGTACGTCCGCTGGCAGTAGTACCTCCACTAGGGGTGCAGGAATAGGAACACCAAAACAACGGCCTGTCTCGATGATCCAAGTGCCATCAACCACAAAAGGGACGTTGCCTGTGCCAGGAACGATTTCACGGACTGCCGCCCCTAGTAGCATGGGCACAGCTATCGGCGGGACTGGAATCAAAAGGATGGCGAGTGTCTCAGCCACCAGAAGCGGCACCGACAACAGCAACATCAAACCACCAGTCTCTGGAGGTCTTAATCGACTGGCTAGTGGGAGACTGAAACGAGAGGGAGGGAAAGTTGAGAATGCGGGTGTAGGGGCTGAATCCGGAGTTGGAACTGGGATATCCGCTGGTCTTGGGAACCGAGTTGGATCAGGAGCAGCAACAAAATCAACAATCGCCACGAAGTCGACAACATCGTCAATATCCGGTCTAAGACAACCCCTCCGTGCTCGAGCTCCCACGGTATCTGCAACTAGCGTGACTGTTAAAGCCACTCCTTTGTCACCACCAACGACAACAGCACGATCAGTATCAGGACCGTTCGGAATGACTCGTCCAGCTACTTCGTCAAGTTCAGGATCATTGGCTACGGTCACTAGCCCAAGGGCAACAGCTACTTTAGGTTCTGGTACCAGGATAGGCACGGGTATCGGTCTCGGGGGAAGAGGGCATGCGCGTACTCAGTCAGCAACAATAAGCTCGCCGAAACCCACAACGCCGAAATCAGCACTGCGAAACCCAGCAGCATCGGGAACTCCAACCACCGTACCTTCTAAATGTGCTATGAGTAAAGATAACGGGGTTTCTAAAATTGGCACTGGAGGCGGACCACCCAAGAGCGCTTCCAAAGGAGTTCCGCCACCAAGTACTCCTGGTAAGAGTAGGCCTCAGTCACTTATATCGACCAACGCACTCAGACGGTCTCCCGCCACAGCTACACCAAAGGTAGCAACGACAGGAGGGACACCCAAAACATCGACTGGAACCGGCCTAAGGTCATCGCCGGCTCACAAACGAGAAAACCCGGCATCTTCGATCTCGACCACCGGTACCGCCACCACCACAGGAACGAAGACAAGAACAGCGGCGAATCCCGGGACAGCAACGAGTACGGCAACAACGCAGACTCGACGTCTTGCTGCTTCCAGGAAACCTATGTCTTTACAAGCCCCCAAACCAGTTACTGGAATGTCTAAACCAGCAGCAGCAGCATCTTCAACACAGCTCACTTCTACAGCAATGACCACCTCCGTCACCAAACCTGCATTACGCCAACCAACAACAGCCTCCTCATCCACGATAGCAACCAAAACAGCAGTCCCCAAATCCAAACCTACAACCCACATACCCGAACCGCAGTCGAAATCGACAACGTTGCAAGACCAGGCCCATGCCCATGCCCCGGGGCCGCAATACCCCCAGCCTCGTCACGACTTCGACACCTACCAACAGCATTATACCCCCGCCAAGATCCCACTCGCCCCGAAACCTCTAACCTCATCCTTCCTCGCGCCCCCCACGCCCTCCAAACAGCCAGCCAACATCGCCGCTTCCGCTGAAATTTCTCGGCTACAGACGGAACTGCTGCAGTTGCATTTGCTCCATCGGGATGCGGAGTGGGTGAAAGGTGAATGGGAAGGTGATGCTAAGCGGAAACTGAGGGAAAGGTGGGAGAGGGTGAGAGGGGAGGAAGAGTTGGTGGGGGAGATGGAGACAAGAGACGGGGAGGAGGGGGTTGTAGAGGGTTTGTTGAATCTGGGTAGGGATCGAGATGGCGAGAGACGGGGGGAAGGGCAGGGGAAGCTGGATGAGGAAAAGATTCAAATGTTGGATGAAGTGATTTCGGGAGTGTGGGCTATGAGCGAGCCTGTTGCTTCGTTTTCTTCTGGGGTAACTATGGGCAAGTACACGCGCGTTGTTCGCAGGTTTGAGGTGTGGGCTGAAAGGGCGGGGAGGATACTGGAGGAACGGAGAAGAGGCGCAGCAGATAGGGATGGAGGGTTGAAGCTCGATGAAAACGGGGAGGTGGACATGATCGGAGGCTTAGACATCGAATGGAAGAATGAGTGTATTGCGCTCGGAAGGCGGTTGGAGAAGTGGCGGAGGATGTTAGAAGCGTTGCGAGGAGTGTCGTCGTCGAAGCCCCAAGGTTATGGATCTTTCCGCGCGTCGAGGTCAATAAGAGGGGTGAAGGAAACGAACGAGGGAGAGGAGAAAGAAGAAGAAGCAGAAGAAAATAATTCGTCTCTAGACAGGATCTTGAGCGGATTCGGAACCTTGGTGGATAATATGCTTGCTGAATTGGAGGTTATGGAGCAGATTGAACGGGAGGCAGTGGCGGAGGAGACTGAGTGGGTGAAAAGGATGAATAGGGCTGATGAGAAGGAGGATGGTGAGGAGGGAGAGGAGACTGTGGAGAAGAACAGGGCGGGAGCTATTTGGAGGGCTTTTTGATGGGTGATGATGATTAGATGAGTTATGAATTGTATGAATGCAGTATGGGAATGAGGTCACGAGGTTAGGGTGGAGAGACACTGTGAGTGGGTTATGCTCTTTGCATCTCTTTCGTTCCGGTTTGGTGATTCCGCTCTTGTCCATTCAGGTGCAGGGAAATGCTGGCCCCTTGAACCCTGTCCAGTGTTGTATCAAGCTGACGGGCAATGTTTCGTTCATTTCTTTGCTCGTTCCATCTCGTCTTTCACCCACCTATAACTTTACACATTGTGCAGTTTTGGGTTCAACCATTAGCTACTCACTCTTCCATAAAGTTCATTTGATCCAAGTGTCTCCAGATCATTTACTTCGATGCCGTGCTTCGATCGAGCACGTAATGTACAAGCACGAGATATCCCTTCATCTTCAAGCCGTTCATCGTCCATGTATAGGCACGGAACGCTATTATCATATGCTCAGCATAGTGACTGGAAGAACTGGTGCCCCACGCATGTTGTTGGCTGTCGGGTATTCATTCGCAAACTCGTCGTTCTTGAATCTTCCAGGTTTGAGACAACCAACTACACTCTTTCCTAAAATCCATTATCATACTTCACAGCATCTTAGTCCTATCCCAAGGTGTGCATAAGTCCTCGTTCAAAGGTACTATGTATCCACTCTTCTATTAACAATCAACAGCCCGATTAGCTCAGCTGGTTAGAGCGTCGTACTAATATCCCCTCTTTGGAATATCAAGTCATGCGAAGGTCAACAGTTCAATCCTGTTATTGGGCAATTCTTTTTCATCTTTTTTTGCACTTTCTTTTGCTCAGTCGGTCCTCTCTTTTGCTCAGTCGGTCCTCTCAATCTTGGTTCACCTGTCTTTCTCTTTCATCCTTTTTTTGTTGGCGATAAAAGCCACAACCAAGCCTTTCATCCGATTTGTGTAGTTCAGAAAAGCCATCCATCCATCCGTCCGTCAGTTGTGTCCAAACTCAGTTTTTGTGTCATCATTGTCAAGTGTAACCAGGAAGGTGTTCAATCTACAACTAAACTTCAGACGCCCAGAAGAAGTAGGGAAGGAACGTTTAAGATGCATGCTTGGAAAGAACGACCACCATGCATCCTGAATACAACATGGGTACACAAGCCCAGCGAATAATGCTGGCCATCACCATCGCTTCATTATCCTCCACGGCCCGACGGGAGCTACGCACTAGCCGTGTATTCATTCCATAATGAGTAACAATACATATTCCCGATTTTGATCCCCAACTATACAACGGCCGCGGAAGCAATACCCACTCATCTCCGTGCTTAGGGCCCGGGGCCTAGAGGGACACCGTTCCCGTCCGATATCACTTCTACCGACGCCCGGTTCTATTTATCTCCACTCCCTTCCGGACCGGGGCCGCGCCAAGCACCGGTACACCTCTCCGCCCCGATCATTACCGCGCACGCATCTGGCGTCATTCCGAAATAAAGTAGAACCTTCATCACCAATGGTTGAATCGATCGATACACTCCCACTCTCATCATCCCTTCCATTTCCCCGCAAAAGTTTTACCATCGTCGATTTCTATCACCTGCATAATGTGAGCAATCCGATGGATGCTAGGGAAAGGCGCCATGCATGATTGAGTTGTACCTGCGTATATGCGTAATGCGGGTTGACGTTGGTTGACGTTGGTTGACGTGTTGAACTGGTGTTCGTCGTCGTCGTCCGCCATCCTGTCACTCAAGTACCTAGGTTTTCACCCGTTTCAACCCGCAGTACCCATCGAGTTGACTAACAGGATTGTCGCCAACAACAAAGGCAAGTGATCTCGTGTGCGTGCCGTTTGTGGGTTGTGTGTTTAGTTTTGTACGTAATAACGGGATTGATTGTGTTCTAAGTGCGATTGGACATGTTTCACAGTCTCCTCCGTCTCAATCAATCAATCTATACACGATTCGAACCATGATCTTCTTTCCTTTTTGATGTTATCACTCCAACGGCAATCGATGCCTTTCGCATTCAGTCAGAGCCGGCCGGCTTCGGGTCTTGGGGGGCCGGGCAAGTGTGGATCCCATCTCCCGTTTCATCGGGGTGTCGGCGGCGGTCCCGTTGCCTTGCTCCGGAACGTTCCCCTCAGGCACAAGTCAACAACACAAAACTCCTGAAACAAGCACGTTCAAGACCAGCACGAGATGACCCCAAAAAAAAGCCCAAGTGAAGAAAGTAGTGGCAAACACGTCATCTTGTTTGGCGCCAGCGGGTACTGTAGTAACTATCTAGTGATTACAGCTCCACACGGTACTGTAGGTGCGTGTGATGTGTTGAGCAGCGGTTGCAACCATACCCCGTAGCCTCTCCGTAACTGTTGCCTCTTCCCGTGATGCAGTTGGCGGGCAGTCCCAATATGTTTCCAGGAAATGTTTCAAAAGTTCCCAAGTCCCTGCAAGCGCCGAAACGAACGGCCGGGTCCAGAGCCTCATCCGTCTCTCTCCCGTCCCGCCCCTCTCCGCTCCGCTCCGCCCCGCCTTGACCCATATTCCCGGTTCCGAAACGAACATCACTCGTCGCTCACTGGCAAGCTGTCGGGTGCCGATCCACATTGAACGCCAACAGACGACGCTTCTCCTTTCCGGTGTTAGGGTCAGGTACCTAACCCATAGGATCAATAGCTGCCCAAAAAAAGAGACAGCGGGTGTTCGAGCGAATCATTGTCGGTGAGCGGTGTCGGTCGATCCAGGGAGGGGGTGTGTTTTGTTCCCTTGGGAGTCGGTCAACAAGCTTGCGCTGTCACCGCCTTTTGCCCTGCGCGGACAGCACCAGAACTCCCCGATCCAAGGAACAGCCAAGGAACCTCACATACCAATTCGCAGCAGGTACGAGGCCCGGATAGATCCGTGAGCGGCTCCCATGTTCGTTCGTTCCTTTTCATCTTCTGCTCGTCTCATGGAAGCGTTGACATCCGCGTTGCTGTCATGTTCTGAACTATTCTTCAGTTTGTTCTTGGTGTTGTTCCAGAAACCCCGAAAAAGGTTCCTCTCATGCCTTCTTTTTCTTGACCTTTCCAGACTCCAAACGCTAAACCCTAATTGATCCATCATCCATCATCCATCTCCAACTTCATCAATAGTGGTATACTAGTAATGGTGGCATAGTTCTAGCAAGTAGAATGAAAATGACAAACGATATGCTTCCCACGCCTGCGCAATGCCTGCTTTCATTCATCATTATTTCTTCGTTTTGTTCTGCTCATCATTTCCGGTTCTAAGGGAAGTGTGTCAGACTTGTGTCTTTGTGTTTGCTCGCGCGCCGTCCTTTCTCTGCCTTGTCCATAAACTTCTCCAAATAATTAAGCAACATTCTGAACCAACCCCAGTTTTCTACTAAAAAGGATAATCAATGTGGACTCCGGGAAAACATGTACACAACGAAACCCAAGATAACCCGTAACCGGCACCCAGGTGAACAGTAGCCTTGGAAAGGGTGACTGTCCCGTTGTCTCCTTCTGCTTCAGAACCGGCCGTCGTATTTGCCCGCCTCCCTTGCCTTATCCCAAGCCAAGAAAACATGGCAAACTCCAAATCCGACAGCGCACTGAAATGGGTATCAAAGAGACATGTGGAAGACGTTTCTTCCAACCAAACAGGGACGTTGTCAAGCCATCGCCCCTGATATAGCGACCTGAGCAGTCAAGGTGACGAAGCCAAGAGCTCCAGGCCAGCATGATCTTTCTCCCAACTGAAACTTCCGAAGCGGGGCAAATGGTATATGCAAGATGCCTCTTTGAAGCAAATGTGGTAAAACTACCCAGAACGACGGTGGCCCGTATGAGAAGGGGCAAGACCTGGTCGTCTGAATGGCCAAAAATATTCTCCTCCAGGGATAACGTGAGAAGCGAAGTTGAGTAGAGTGTGATCGTTGAGACGCCAAACGCCTTGTAGCAAAAGATAAAGCGCCGATGCAGTCATAAAGTCGATGTGAATGCTTTGTCGCCGAAAATAATGGCGCCGTCTGTGGTCGTGTATGAGTGAAGAGACCTAGGAGATGCGGCCCCAAACTCGAGACACGGAAACCAAGATTCCGTGCCCAGAGAGGTAAAAATGTCAAAAACTCTCAAATGACCGCCAACGCCCGATAGGGGTGCTGAATGTTATGCCCTGCCCCTTGCTGAACGCCGAGCCATGCATGTGTGGTATTATACAGATCCAAGTCGAAGGAGGGCCTCAACGGCCTCCCTCTCTTGCGCATCTGGCGGGGTCGTCAATGCGGGTGTTGTTGGAAAGTTGAAGTTGTGGAATTGTGGCGAGCGTGCCATCCCCACTGATGAAGAGAATCCCCGCAGGCCACTAGCAGCGTAGACGTTGTTCGCGTTGAGGAACCGGTCTGATGGCGCTTGGTATGAAGTCGCACGAAGCGCAGCCGCACCAACAGCGGCCCAGTCTTCATCGTCTGTCGCGTCTTCCGTGTCGTCATCCATGGCGATATCATCATCGTCATCGGGTGCCTCTGAGCAGGAAGCTGACGCCGAACCATCCAGGGACATCCTGTCCGCTTCATGGTCCATCATGTGCATAGACCGATCGTCAAAGGAGAATGCCGCGCAAGATTCACCGTCGAGAGAACCAGCGGCTTCGATGCGCAAGCGATCCAGGTTCCAACCGCCATTCCTGGCGATGGGGATGCTTGCGGGCTGACCGTCACCATGTGGCGACGCTCGGCGTGCTGCCGTATACCCAGAGGATTGGCCACGCTTCCTGGCTTGCCATATTCCCCAGCCCACCTTCTCAAATTGTACGTCACCGTCCAGACCGCCGCCTTCGCCTCCGCTTCCTCGACCTTCCAAAGCACCTACAACTAACCTCCGAGCCTTTGTCGGAGGAATCTCAGCAAAGCCAGGGATGGAGCTCGTGAGATAACCCATGATATGACGGATCGCAAGCGGACCGTGGTTCAAGAGGATCTCTGGTAGATGGAATTTGGCCAACATGGCGGCGTTGATGCCGGCCGACTCGTAGGGGGGCGAACCGACACTATCGTGATGATCGGTGTCGTGATCGCCATGGAGGTCCAGATCCGAGTCGACGTGTTGGTCCATCCGAGCTCTCTGAAGCTGGGCCTTGAGCCCATGGGGAGGCAGTGTAGGGGATATGGAGTTGGGAGGAGTAGGGAGGGGAGTCGGGTGAGTTGCCGTCACAGGGACGCTCCGGGCCGCTACAGCAGTTAAGTTGTCTCGGCCGAGGGAGGTCGTAGCGATATCGCGAACAGCAGATGCCATGGTTGCCATGTTGACCTTTATTGTAGTCGGTATGCTTCGAGACGTGTCTGCGAGTCGGCGCAAGTGGGAGTTAGCACGAGATGGCGGGAGGAGGGCAGACACGCGACGACGCGATGGTGAGGTGTGATGGTGCTGTTGCTTGTGATAGTGATGGAAAAGGAAGGAGGAGGAGTGACGGACAACGGCGGCGGCGGCGGCGGCGGTCTTTTTGTATCAGTCGTGATGCCGGCCCAGGGCCATGGACCATGTACAACTACTATCCTATGGTATGTACGTATTGTATGTATAGGTATGGATGCACACACGCACACGCACACGCACACAGTACGGTGTAGGTAAGGTCCAGGTAGGTACAGCAGTCGATATGACGATGTGCCCTAATCGCACACACGCACTTGTCGTGGACGCAGGCTGATACCCGGCAACCCGGGGGTGAATCGGGGGGAAGTGGGCCGTGGGATACAATGCCCGTGGATATCAGGCGTGGGTTGAGTTGTGAGGGGGGAGTGGTATTGGGGACCCGGGGTCCGCTCCTTGAGTCACTCACCAGATGCCCGAAGCAGATGCGCAGCTGGCAAAGTAACTCTTGACCGGGCAAAAGTGGATTTGGTCGGATCAAAAGTGTGGAGGCAGGGAATGGCAGAGCTGTTGTTGTCGCGATGATCTCTCTGTGACAGGAGAATACTCTCGGTGCTGGATCGATGGTGCTGAAGTGCGTGTGTTGTTTATTTGCTTTGAAGAAGAGAAAGGAAAAAGAAGAAGAAGAAGAGAAGAGGAGGGAAGAGGAGGAGATGGGATGAATGCCAGTGATAATTAATCCACCCCATGCTGCTGTCCCAGGTGTGCGCCCCCTAGAACAGGTACAGCCAGTACCATACGGCGTAGGGAGACGAGGTACCACTTACAACAACTGGCAGTCTGGCGCACCCGACACAACACAATCTCGACGCACACACAGACAGGACAAGGCAGGACACCACCTCAACCTTCTGGCTCTCGCTTGCCATTGTCATTGTTCATCCGTCATCGCTTGACACCCGGTATTCGCCTGGGCATAGGTACGGGTAGAGGCTACCTCTCTCTCTCTTTTCGGTGTTGTGTGGAATGAGCTAGGGCTTCAGCTGCAGTCATCAAAACGCGCCGCAGAGTGCCTACCTAGAGTCCCTTAGTCACCGCATTGCTTCCGCGCTTGCGTATTGTTCTGCTAGAGAGGGAGAGTGGTATCTGGCATCAACTGGCATCAGAAAGGCATGGAAAGCATGGATTAGACCATCAGATCGAACAAAGCAACAAAGCCGGCTCAAAGGGCTTTCTTTCAACTTGCCAGTCACAAGATCATTTGGTTTGCCGATGATTGGGGAGATGGAGGGCGGCGGCGGTCCAGCAATTACAAAGCCCTGCTTGGTCACCATCTCTGTTGCCATGCCATGGGTGTGTGATGAGTGATAGGGCCATTTGGTTGCAACTGGATGGTGTTCAGGCTGCTGCAGAAACACAGAAGGAGTGACAAGCCTCGACAATAACAAGAAGAGGTGACACCTACCCGCGCCACCTGGGGTGCACATAATGGCCATGAACATGTGCGCCTCCTCCAGCTACTATTCCAAACAGAAAGTGTACCGTGCAAATGCCAACCTCATCGACTGTCTACTTGTGTTTATTCTGGGCTGCCAGGTCCATGGCGTCTCCAGGTTGTCTTGCCAAAGAGGACCGCTTTGCAACAGCCAAGGCACACCAACTGCTGCACTTTAACACCGACACCCCCCCTGGACTAGTTGACCCCGTCCGCCGGCGCTCCTTTTGGCGGGTTCCTTGGTCGCTACCCGGCCTACCGACTTACTCCCGCCTTTTCGACAAGTTCCATCATCGACCGTCTATTTTGGCACCATCTGGCTAATTTTTCGAGTTTTGTGCGTTTGCTCATCCATCGTGTTGTTGGTGAGTGACATCATTATCCTGAATATGGCACAAAGGTGTTCTTGATGAGGGCAATCCGGTTATGTCTGGTGTATACGGGATAGATAACATGTCATGGCAGCGCCCAATTAAGCCCATATCCAGCCGGACCAGAGAGGTTCTCATTTTGCACAATTTCGGCGATAGGCTGGCAATCGGGAATTTCACTAGCACACTGGGGGCAAAAACCTAGGGCTTTTGCCCATGGTCTGAGAGCGGCATGTTAGTGCGGTGGGCGACGAGTGCGGGCTACAAGTACACCAAACTTTGGGAAAAAGTATCAATGCGTCCTGGATGTATAGGCCCGAGCACAGTGTAAAGAGGCACAACTTTTGTGTTAGTGGCAGCGTGGTTCAGTTTTATCAAGTCAAACACAGGAATGCATCCTCTTCATGCAGCACGGATGGGTTATGCCTATCGCAACACCAAATCAAGGCTACTCCGCCGTCTCATTCATTCACGTGGTGTTGGAGATGCTTCCGTCTTGTCTAGTTCAGGGCACAACCCGAACTCCCCGTTTCTCCGTCGCTGATGGACAACATGCTGGATGGAACTTGATACCCAAATGATACCGTAAAGGTAACATGGCTGCGGCGCGGAGGTCATACGCCACGCCTTCATCTACGCGAGAGCGGATACTACTGATATCAAACCCCTCAGCTCGTTAACCTGTTTTCTTCCCGCCTGTCCCGGACGCTGGAAGTAATAAAAGACATGGCCTTCGCATTGAGAAACAAACCCCAACTTGTATCATGATGCAGGTTTGCGACGGACGAGTGCACGAGACGCCGACCATCCAACTATACTGGCCGCGAATTGATGGATTATACAGCGTATGAACTAGTGCCCTGCACGAACCTAGCCGGGCCGAGCCGGAGTATTCGACTCAGCTCAACTACGTCCATAGTAGGTCTGGTTCGGCTCAACTATAGCTCGGCTTGAATCAACTAAGTATAGCTACGCACTGATCACTTATAGGTTTCTAGTAGTAAAATGAATATTAAAACTCGTTGCCTATAGATAAAAACTATTATTTTACACTTAATTCTTTAAATATATAGTATATTTGATAGTATAATAAAATAAACTATCTTTTGAAAGTATAATAACTAAACAAATCTAACTAAATGCTTGCTTTATTTCCAAAAAAATAATCAGTATTATAAAATAATCAATGGCTATATAAGCAATTTTAAACAACTACTAACTATATATTCTTTACTATATTAATAAGTTTACGAATAAATACTTAACTTTATAAACGATATATAACTCTAAATAATCATTATTGTTTCATTACTAAATTTATTAATAAAGTTATCCTCTAATGAATCCTCCTAATAGTAAATGAACTAAGGAAAGAATATTTTAATAGGAGGGAAGATAGATTTACAACTATTGTATATAGGAGGATCTATATTCTAAAACTTTAAGAAAGTCTCCTTAAAGTTTTGGAGGATTTTAATAGTTCTCTCTTCTTCAAATTTTTTTATAACCGCTTTACTCCGTTTATTGAAGTATAATATAAATATTATCTAGTAAATGAACAATTCCTTTAGTAAATTGATATACTTTGCAAACTTCTGAATAGCTAAATTAGTACTGTTGCAGACGAATGGACTACTCTTAATACTCAAATTAATATAATAAAAGAAGAGTTATTGTAGTTAGTAACGTTTCTATTATTAATTTTAATTCTAGTTTTAGCTTTAATTAGCAATCGAATTCTATCATGTTATATTATTTCATAATACATTGAAACTAATATTTTGCTTGTTTACGTAAATTTTACTAAGTTCCATAATCTACTAAGAGGTAACGTATTTAAATATGATATTAGTGAAAGCTTTACGTTGTTAAGGAATTTTACAAACGTAAAAAATAAAATTATAAAATTTATTAATTATTTCACATTCTTACTACTCTATAATTGTCACGACGCGGGCGGACTACTATATGACTAGGCTATGTTCTAAAAGGATACAAGTAACCGAAGCTGGCAATTCGGTCGCTCAAGTGGTCTTATATAGTTCGATGGCAGTGGAGAGGCATAACTGCAAGGCTGCCATCATAATAATAATCCTTTCCTCCCCTTCTTTTATTGTAGTTTTATAAATGAAGCTTTTTAAAAAAGCTTTAGCAACTAGAAAAAATATATAATTAAAGTAGCGAGTATAATAGTCGTTAAATTCATAATTATTAATATTGTTAATAAGTAAATAATCAATTATTTATTATGTAATATTATATTATTACTTTCTATAAAATCTAGGCTAATATTACTATCATAGCTATTAGTAATTCAACAAAGGAGAGCGCTTATCAAATTCAATAGTTAATATAGAATCTTATAGTAGAAGGGTTGGGAATTACTAATATTTTCACTACTATAATAGCTTTTAATATATACTAGTGGAAGTAAGCGAGTTTAAAAAATAATTATAATATCAGTATAGTAAATAATAATTACAAATATAAGATTGTCACGGGGCGCGAGCAAGTACCAAGGTAAGACTTTGATTGTTGTGCAAGGAATAGAAAGAGAATCTTATACGTGCACGAGAACTATGTAGGCCATAGGGTAGACTCCTATGGTTAGGTCCACAGTGTGTCATCATATAGCTATGCTAGTGGCTGTTGTGCCACGCTAAGTTAAGCTGTGCTGCAACTAAACAGTTGTACTTAGCTGGCTGCACTAATGTAGCATAATACCTACCCTATATTAGAACAAGGCAGTGATGCCTATAATAAATATAACCATTAGACGAAATCTAAACGTTAAAGAAGAAGTGGATCTTATAAGGAGCTATAACTAATTCCTCTTTCAATTTTTCCCTTTTATTATTAAATTTTATAGCAATTTATTAAAATATCAGTATTCTTAGTTTTGAAAATACAGCTTTCATTATAATGAAATTTAATACAGAATAAAACTTATAAAATTTATTATTCCATACAATTACATATCCAACATTTAATGTAACGACGAAGTTTATTAGTCTCTCCCTAATAGTATTACTACTTAATTACCAATTTGCACAAGAAGTAACTGCAATATAAGTACGTATATTCCCACTCTATTACTTTTCAATTGTATTTAACTATTTCTTTTTAAATAAGTTCATAATCTTATATTTATTTTCAAAATACTTTCCCGCCGCCCTTATTAGAGTATTAACGTTTTCTATATTATTATAATAGTAACAAACGTAGTTTATACCCGCTTTCTCAATTCTCTTTAATTACCAAAAACGAATAGTATTTTTCTTTAAAAAAAAGTATTATTCTCCGCTTACTATCAGGCATATTAGAACTATTCGTTAAATACGTATTATATTTTCTCATTTTAATATATAACTATCTATTTAGTAGTTGATAAGTATATAAATCAGTATCTTTCTACTTCAAATGATTGATTCGTTATTTAAAAATATAATACGTTATTTAACTGAATATCACAATAGGGCAATTAAATAAAATTAACAGCAGGGGTTGTAATAAAGAAAATAGTTTACAGAGCATTAAACTAAGCTACCCTTCGCTAATACTATTACTAAATTAGCTGATGTAATGGCAGCCTTGCAGTTGTGTCTCTCGACTACCATCGCAACTATATAAGACTACTTGAGCAACCGGATTGCCAGCTTTGGTTACTTGTATCCTTTTGGAACATAGCTTAGTGATGTAGTGGTCCGCCAGCGTTGTGACAGCTGAAAGTATTTTAAAATATAGCGGAGTTTTAAAATATAGTAATAAGTAAAGTCTATTATTATTAATTTTATTGATTGAGAGGAAATGAACGAAAATAGCGATACTAAGTTTAATAAATTTAATAAGAGAGAAAGAAGAAAGGTTCGCTCTATAAAAGAAGTAGTTAAAATTTTATAAGTCTGCTATTTGCAACCTCTATAGCACTTTTAATACTACTTTTAATACTATAGTTATAAGTTACGATACGAGATTTAACTTATCTTAATACATATATATAAATGTAGAAGTATAAAAGATTATCATATATATAAATATCCGGTTATTTATATACAATCTTACTACAAAATAAGCGGGCATATATGTAAAAAAAAAATCTTATACCAAATTTGCCTAGCTAACCAAGCCGAACTAGCCGAGCTTCCCCCTCTGGCTACCCCCAGAAACAGTGCTCGCTCGGCTCCCTCAGGTGGCCTCTGGGCTCGGCTCGTGCAGAGCACTGGTATGAACCAAGCAGACAAAGCCCGGCCAGACTGCCGCCGTCAGCCCCCGTCTTCCCGCCATGTTTATCACCGGCGGCCGCTGCCGGTCGGAAGTGCCTGCATTTGTACGATTGTTTGTGAATGGGTATCCTCTCCGTATCCCGCATCTAGAGCTGGAAAGCAATGCGGCCTTTCCAACCCCGGGCAACCGAGACTGCGGAATCCGTCGAACACAACGCAACAGAGGGCTTGACAGGAACGAGAAGCAAGGGGCTGACCCTGCCCGAAATGTTCCGGAGCATGGCTGGGAGTAACCTTGCTGGGAGACAGTAGGTGAGTCCTCGCACGGCTCCGTAGCCGCACGGTTACTGAATGATAGATACCCGCCCACAACCATCCGTGGATCGCTCGATGAGCCTCCGCGTGGTCAGTGGTGTATACCGTAGTCGTCGGTTTGAACTCTGAGAAACATGAGGCGAAAGCAAGGAGGTTCAGGGCGAACAGCCACTCATCTTCCCTCGTGGATTGTGTCGGGGACGTCCGAAGGCCAGAGTAAAAAGGAGCACAGGCCGACGAAACGATCTCAGTTCGTCATCATGTCAGGTCCCTAGAAGAAGATCAGACACATTGAAATCCAAAAGGGAAATCACGTTGGATAAGCCGGTCGTTCTGATTGGATGGGTCCTTAAAGACAGGCAATAATAGCCTATCGGGTGAGCACAACCGAAGCACACTTCTACCATTCCCATACCTCATGTCTGGGGAACAGATATCTGGAAGAATTGGCGAACACGAACAGTTCTCTTTTGATAGCGATAGTTCAAGTCAATTCCCGTCACCTACTGTAGTGGCCACTAGCCAGCCCCCTCAGAAAGAGAGGGGAAGACGGTCTCAGTCAGAAAGTCACAAGGCCTAGGTTGTTGTGATATTACAGATAACGGGTGGCAGTAGGCACGGCTTGGCATCACCATCCGGGGCCATGATATCGCTCACTACCATAGATGCCTCATATATCTACACATGGAGATAGCAAGGTCATCTTGATTCCAATATAGGGGAAACAACGCACACGCACAAAACGAAAGTAAAGAAAAAGAAATTCATCCGGCCAAAATTCAAATATCCCTCCCTCCCTTCTTCAAACACGTCCAGCTGGAGACCGCCAATTCGTTCTCATGCCTTCTTCTCAGCTTCGCTTCCCTTCCAGGGACGTCGTTCGTAGTGGGGTTCCCCATGGACATCCACAGTGCCAGCCATAACATCCGCTAAAACACCAAAACCAACCACTTTATACCCCTGTTCAAGAGGGAACAAAAGTTCCAAAACCGTTGGCGGAGTGTTTTACACTGTCACTACACTACACGCAAAGTGGTGATTCACTGATGTGATGTCCATCATGCGACGACGATCCACTGGACGTTCAACAACCCAGAACGCCCGGAGAGTCTCCGGCGGAGACAATCCGTGGTCCACTGAACCGTGACAGTGACCGACCAAGAGCCAAGCTGGCGGTCCCGGTTTGTTACCCCACGTTCCAGCGACCCGCGGCGGATGGTTTCGGGGGACTGCGGAGAGCGGAGCAAGGAGACGGGAGCGGAGATGATGCCGAATACACTACTTAGTGCCTGCTTGGTAAACCGGCACCTCATGTGCTATCCTCAACACTCAAGACAACTGAACCAACTGAACCAACTGAAGAGGATCATGGAAGTCAACGGTCTAACAGCGTGAGGGGAAAACACATTGAAGACTACAAGGCCAGGGAAAGACGACATAGGAAGTATTCAAAGAGTCAGAATGGTCATCAAGGCCCACAGTGACCGAGGCATACTAGATCGTGGAATCAAGTTGAGGAAGCGAGTGGTGACTAACCACTAACCAAAACACGCCAGGAACAAGTAACGGGAAACGTAGATCATATTTAGAATAGAACACAAAACGGAAAACAAGGTCAAACACCAATTGGTGACTAGTAACCGAATTTGAGTGATACGTTATATGATAGCCGAGAATAAACCCCGCCATATACTGGCGGCTCGCCCACTGGGCGATTCGATTGAAGGTGTTGGGCCGCGTTTACGCTACGGGCAATACATGATTTATACTGGCAATAGGCCTCGGGTTGCCCTCGGGTTAATGGTCTTTTGGTGGACATTTAGGGCACTGCTCTTATCTTTGTACGCGAGATTCACCGATGTGGCACTTCTCATGCCCTACGGGAGGCGGAAGTAGACGTTAAAAACAACAACAACAACAACAACAACAGCTGAGAATAACCTCTCTTTTCTGGTACCTGTTTTTAAGAACGTCGATGACCTTGTTAACGTTCGACTTCAAGAAGAACATCGCCTAGGTACTTGCACAACCCTCAATGGATCAGCTGGAATATATCCGCCCTGTCCGATGAAGAAATCCGCATCCTTTCGTTTTTCTGTCCCATTGGATTTGGTTCGGACCCTCAAGGTTCTCAACACCGCGGACCAAGCTTGACACCTCCATCCAAAAGCTTGCCTTCCTCCCATGTCGATATCAAATTGTGGGGTTGCCGTTCGAACCAGGAAGTTCTGGTAAGTACGGCAGGGACAGCGGTAGGATTCAAGTCACAGTAGGAGTGCCATTCTCCCGCCTTCGGAGTCTGCAGATACTTACAGTAGCTATCAAGGTCCCCTCACCCATCGATCGCTAACAGGAACGAATATTGACCACGCGTAAACGGTTACATCACCACACACTACCTCTACGCATCAAATGGCACTTGAATACAAAATTGATACGGATACGGGCACTCAACGAGGGCTGAACTGGTCGGGGTTGGTAAGCGCGATGTATCAAGTTTATGGACAGGAAGGAGGAAGGGCCCTTGACCCACTCATACCCAAGGTACACACCGGCACCATCCTTCTGAGACAGAAACGACGAAGCACCGTTCGGTTTGAATTGGGCAGGTACCTAGCTAGGTACCTTGATAAACCAGCCGTTTCGCTCTTTTACGTGCACGATTCCCGCATGGCTTCCATTGATGAGTGCGAGTTGTGTGTGTGCATGTGGATTGGTGTTCATGACTGTCCTGCCCTCCCGTCGCCACCACGCAAAATGAAAGCTCGTCGTTATACCTACAGGTACATTGTACACTCGTTGTTGGATTCCATGATGCATTCAGTACTTACAAGTTACTGCATGGACGATCAACAAAAGCTGGCGCTGCTGAAAAAGCGCCACAGCCACCTCGAATGGAACACCGTATCCTCCATTGGAAAAATTAAGAGTGTTGATTCAGTCAGTGTATATATGCGCGTCGATTGTGTAGAGTTGGGTAACTCTTCGTGTAACGACACAAGAACCTGGTTTGGGTCTGGGATCAAGTCTGTTTGCGGCCCAGCACAGCACACCACCGCCACCACTTGAATTCCAAGATATGTGTTGCATCTCAACCACGCTAAGATATGAAGGTCTCCCATTACGACATTGTATTGGAACGGACGGGAAGGTTGGGTTGGGTTCGGTTCGGTTCGTGCTTCCAACTCCCAAGGTGACTAGAACGTTCTTTTGCTCTTCTTGTACGACAGACGATCAACTCCAGTTCCATATCCAGGTAGGAGTTATGGTGGCATTGGGCGACATCAGAACGAGCTGGGAAATTTGACGGTCAAGTTATCAAGCTCCACCATTCTGGCCAAATACATATTCTCTACACGCCTAAGATCCCAATTTTGTTAGTAGACATGCCAGCAGAATGGAACGTAAAGGGCCGATGAAAGGAAGGTTAGGGACTCACAGCTTTCAGCAAGTTGACCTCCTCCCGTGACTGGTCATAAACATGGCGATAACTGGCGATACTCTCCCGCAAGACAGCATCCCTTGTAAGCCGGCCTTCGCAGATCGCCTTCATTTTGAGTTCCATCTCCTTGCGGAGAAAAGGTTTGCCGAGGCTGGTTTCGAAGTTCATCCTCTCAAAGCCCATAATCAAGGCGACGCCGAGACTGGTCGGGATAAACTCTTTGACACCATCACGGCCACCGCCACCACCGCCGCTTCCCCCTCCTCGCCCGCCACGTCCACCACCTCTTCCACGTCCTCCCCGACCACCGCGTCCGCCCCGGGCGCCACCAGCTGGAGCGTCGTCGTCCTCGTCGTTACCAGCACCTCCGCTGCCTCCTCGCTCAATGACTGAAACGTACTGTCTCTCTTTGATCTTCTCAATATGCTGGGCCATGGTTGCATCAGTGCCGATGCCATTCGCGTCCATCAGGGCGATCAGATCTGCCTCGGTCAAATAGTTGGGGGCAGTCGTCTTGCCTTCTGTCATCATGGCCTCGGTCGGTTCGAACGTCTCACCGACAGTAAATCTCGGTAGCTCGGTCGTTCCAGTCCAGTTCTCGTAAGGGTAGACGTCAAGGTAGTTGCGCTGGTGGACGATCAGGCCATGGGCGACGAACTTTTCTTCTCCGTAGGTGATTTCGACGTCGGTGGTTGCTCCCCGGGCGTCTTCAGAGCAGCAGGCGAGGAATCGACGGACCACGAACTCGTAGAGTTTTCTTTCCTGTTCGTCAAGCACAGTGGGTGCCGCGTATGTGATGGGGTGAATGGGAGGATGGGCCTTGTCGTCGTTCTTGCCTTGACGAGGTTGCTGGAAGGCACCGTCGACTAGATTATGTGCGAAGGGGCCCCAGCGATGGTCCTGGGTATGCTTTTGGACGAGCGCCCGCAGGTTCATGCCCTTGTCGAAGCGGTCCGTCTCTGTCCTGGGATAGCTGATGAAGCCCTTCTGATATAGTTTCTCTGCTACCGTCATTGCTTCTTGACCTGTCATTCGGAGAAACCGTGTGGCCATCTTTTGAAGCTCAACGGTGGTGAGGGGGAGGGGTTTCCATTTCTTGGTCTGCTTTTCCTTGATATCCGTGACCTTTGCAATTTTGGCGGCAAGACATCTTTCGTAAAAGATTAACACGGACAACCTGTCAAACAAACGGTTTCGGGACCAGTTGAAGTGGACTTTGGCGCCTTCTTTTTCATGCATCACCTTGATGGACCAGAATGGTTCCGGTACAAAATTCCGGACGCGGAAGTATCGGTCGACAACGAAACCGAGAGTCGGAAATTGACAGGATCCTGCTAGGTCAGATACATACTGGCATACATCCATTGACGTGCAACTTACCATAGCTGAGCACCAGGCCGTCCAATGGTCCTCCAAGTCTTTGCAGACTCAACGTCAAAAAGCGGGTAAATGCAGATCCGATTCTCAGGTCCAGCTCGATACGCGCAGCGACTGCTTCAGCCTGCCTTTCATCCAAGGGTACCGGGCGTCGGGCCGCAGATAAAATATGTCTGGACAATGCGTTCGATATGTCAGTCATAACTAGGCTTCATACAAATGGGTGGTGAACTTACGCTCGTTCGATATTGCTGAACCTTGCCCTAAAGACTTGAATGTTCCTCTTGCCCTTCCTTGCGGCCTCCCGGATCTCGCTCCCGATGTGTTCACCTTCTCGATCACAATCCGTCCAGATATAGAGTATGTCAGCTTGACGAGCCTGGCTTTCAATATTCTGGGCAATAACTTTCATGTCCTGGCATGAATCCCATTGTCAACATATAAAATCCAAGCAAGGATAATGCGCCAAACACTTGTTGGCAATGACGAGACATACATTCGGGTAGCTTGTCTGGACAGGTGCGTCAAAGAGGCGATCTGGTGGTGGGTACTCCCACTTTTTGAACTCCTGGTGGAAGTCTAGTTGCGTGAGATGCCCCCTCACAGCGGTCATGGTGACCGAACAGCGTCCCCAGGGAGGACCGAAATCGCAAGTGAAAACATAGTTTTTAGTATACCTGTCCCGGGTGTTGTGCTACCTTGCACGTTAGCCTTGAATTCTTTAAAGCACTGTGAAGACGTACTGAGAACCCACGGTTTGAACTTGGCCACCAGACAGGTGGTCAGCGACTGCCCTTGCAATCGACGGTTTTTCGGCTACACAAAGGATTCGCGGCATTTTGGCCGAATAAAGGCGCACAGAGAAAAATGACAATTCTGTCGGTAGAAACCTACGCCTGGGAAGCCGAAGACGACGGAACATCAAGCGGTGGTCGGTGTCCGGCCAAGTGGGATGTGAAGTGAATCCCACTTGCGACAAAACATGGAAACTTTAGCCGTAGGGAAGATAGAAGTGCCGCTGCAGGTTCACTTGAACTGAAATTTCATGAAGCGTGGCAACTCGAAGAAGAGATGGAAGTTCCGTATACGTCAGCTCATGGAAGTGTGAGGTTGATGATCTGAGGGTTCTTCAGAGCCTTTTGCAGCCATACCTGCTGCATCCAGATATCCGCCTTCTTAGGTTCACGAAACAAGACAATGGGCTGTTGATGGCGGGGAGAGACGCACTCCGCGTTGTGGATTGTATTGTGTCATTTATGCGTTAAGCCCTCATTCATATAAACAATATTACCGCGTTGCATTATTTGTATACGCTTGCGCTAAAAGAGGCATGATGATGACACGGCGGGTTCGTAGCCCCGCTTTCTCCCATCCAAAGCTTCGATCCAGATCTTGGAGCTTGGTCGAATTCATCGCCTCGGATTCAATACTTACTTCCCGGCAACACTGACAGATTGGCAGACTGGGCGCGAAACTGCATGACGCATTTAAGCTCGGGATGCGCATACACACATGACGCCAATCCTCCGTCAGTTCACTTTTCTTTAACCAACGGGAACATTCTGTTAAATCCTTCGACTTGATCAATCTTTCTCCTGCTTCCTTCTCAAGGAAATCGAGGGAAACCAACAGTAAACAACACCTCCTACTCCAATCCGGAAGCCTCCCCAAGTTCTCGCAATAACTGTTCGTTCTTCGACCGTTTCCATTTGTTTCTTGTCCTGTTGAACGACCAGCTACATTGTTGCCCGCCATGATACTGCCGTACGCCATGGCTCTGCCCAAGCTGGGTTCACTCCAAGAGTGCTCCGACTTCTCAAAAACCGTCACGCCCTTCCTGCCACAACTCTACGCCCTCCCGCGTCAAATTCTGGGCACCGTGTTCAATGGAGGGAGCTTCCTCAAACTGTACATGGAGACCAACCCGTTCATCAGCGGGCTTGGGGCCTCCATCTTCCTGGGCGGCGTGTTCCTTGTTGCTGCCGAGGTCAACAAAAACTACTCGCAAGTCGATCGCTTTTGGAGCATACTGCCGACCGTCTACATCGGTCATTTTGCGACTTGGGCGCGTCTGGTCGGAATTCCCAGCCGGCGCATCGATGCCGCCTTGCTTTTTAGCACAATTTGGAGTGTAAGTTAAAGTCGCATACTGGAAACAGCCAAGAGTGCTTGCTGACAATGCGAAACTCTTCAGACGCGCCTGACATACAACTATTGGAGAAAGGGCGGGTATGGAATCGGACACGAGGACTACAGATGGCAAATTGTTCGCGACATGCTGCCCAAGTGGGCTTTCCATATCCTGAACTGGACATTCATCTCCTTTATCCAGAGCGTTCTGCTTTACATGTTCGCTTCTCCTGTCTACGTTCTTCTCTTGGCCACTCAGTTCGAGCCCGAGCTCTCCACAGCTGACATTGGCTTCACCGTCATGGAATTGGGTCTTATTCTGACCGAGTTCATTGCTGATCATCAACAATGGGGTAAGTTCTATGACACATGAATTCCTCTCTGGAACACCTGCTAACATGAAGCGTGTGTAGTCTTCCAGTCAGCGAAGAAGGAATACCAGACCACTGGTCAAGTCCCGGCCGGCCACAACAAGGCTGATCTTGACCGCGGATTCATCACCTCTGGCCTCTGGGCTTATAGCAGACACCCGAACTTTGCTGCTGAGCAGTCCATCTGGCTCACCCTTTACCAGTGGGGCTGCTTCGCGACGAACAGTCTCTACAATTGGACCGTTCTCTCGCCCATCATGCTTATGAATGTGTTCCAGGGCTCTACGTGGCTGACGGAGCGCATCACGTCTGGAAAGTATCCCGAATACAGCGCGTACCAAAAGAAGGTCGGCACGTTCATACCCAAGACTTTGAAGGGGTACACGACCCCTGTGCCCAAGGTTATCCGCACCAGTGATCTTGCCAAGAAGCTACAGGAGAAGGAGAAGGAGGAGAGCAAGAAGCAAAAGTGAAGACAGCCCCAAAAGTGTGCCTTTTCCAGTATGTTAATACTGGTAAGACAAGCACCTGCGACGGCTCTGGCAAAAGCTTAAAAGGACATGACCAGGCTAAACTCCTGTGGATAGAATCTTAGCGGCGGGCACGGGTACCACGGGAGCACATCATTCCCACAACGTTTCTCCTTTTGCAAGGACCGGACATGTACCATGGAGAAGATGGTCCACAGTGCAAACTGGTCGCCCATCTTATTTTGGATGGAATTTACACTGACGAGTTTCAATCCACCTTTGCAATTCAAAGATTGCAGAGCTCATAATATTCACTCGTGTCAGTGTCGGGTCGAACTGGCTCATGGTCGCTAGGTTTCTCGGGCAGCCAGCACCCACAGGTTTCATTGTCGTCATGGCATTTAGCTCTACGGATATGATGAGACGGCAGCACAGTCAAAAACATAAAGCACAGGCAAACGGCACATGAAAGTATGGGATCTCAACAAACCGTTGATATTTTGTCAGGGGTCCGGCGTGATCTCATAATCTGGATTCTGGCCACATGACCACCGATGAAATTACGTTCTTGATGCTTGTTCGAAGCGTGGAGCTCGTAAATGACAACATTGACAGGTGCTTGGGAAATGGTAGCTGAACCCGAGAAGAACACCGAAATAAAATGGGACCTCTTTAAAATCCCTGAACAAAACGTGGGGGGCCAGATCACAACCCCTGAAGTGCCCTGCACGGTAGATCTTCGCCCAGGCCCCGGGACCCTTATCCCGGCAGAGCAACCGATGGGTCCCTGGACAACAAGACATTGAAGAGGCTCCGTAGAATTTCCAGATTGCTAGAAAACTGACAGGATGACACAGCGCACGTTCCATCTCGAGCAGTCATCCCTTCATTTTTGTGATATTTTTGAAATATTGGTGTGGAGACGTGCTTATGAGATTTCGCAATAGCGTCGATCTCATCAAAGATCATCAACGGCAACATGGGGCTCGATCAGACTTTCCGTGCCAGGAGAGATGGGTGTCTTTGCAACTCGCTGGGTAGCAAAGTCCGAGGAAGGCGCCATTTGCCAACAGTGGATATTTGGGAAGTATAAAGGATATATCCCACCCCAGTCTTGACTCCTAGAGTCTGGACCTTTCATCTGTTTATTCCTCTCTGGATGCCCATCTCGGCCTCGGTACTTCGGTCACATTATTGTCACTCGTTCTCCAACATTTTTATTATCCTACTAATAAACTAAACCAACACTCCTTTCGAACTACTCGGAACACCATCGACACTCCGTTCGTACTCCTGTCTGTTTGCGTCAACTGCCGTTGTACTTCGAGCCGGGCATATCCCAATACTTTCGGCGCTTATCCCGACTTCTGCCTCACTGGTGTTCTGAAACAGAACCTCCACCTAATCTCTTGCGCGTGATCACATACCAAACTTGACGACCCTCTGCCTCATCTGGTTCTGAAAAACCTAGTCGTACAAACAGTCGGGAAAGCAAAATCAAGTTTTCCATCGCAACAAGTTTTCGTTGGGGTTATCCACTTTCTGTCCGAAAACCTGTCAAAAACCTGGGGTCAGGAGGTCAGCATTGAAGACAAGACAAAAATTACGGATTCACCTTGGTGTGCCACGGAAAGAACAGTCAACCCACAACGGCCCGTCACTCACGATAGTTCCTTACAATACATACGAGCGGTACCCTTCACTCGCGCATCTTGCTGCCGTTGACTCACCAGGGCCGGGGCTGCAGCACACGCACACAACGCACACAACCTAGACCTTGCAGCTATTATTATATAATCCCGCACCCCACTTCTACTTTTTTCCCTTTCACTCTTTCACGATGGCTTCCTTCTCGTCCGAAGATCCCTACTTCAACCTTTTCTTTACTCCGGCACCAACTTCGTCCGCAAGAAGCCCCAGAAACGGCAGCAGCAGCGCATCATCAAGAAGCCGCAGCCCATCACCCTTTCCTGCTATCACTCCCACCTCTACCGCGACCCCATCTCTGGTGAGAGCGTTGATGTACTCGACCTCCATTCCATTGTCCATCATGCCGTCCTCTAAAGAAGCCGTCATTACCAAGTCGCCAATCCTCTCCGCCCTGCGCACCCCGGTTGCAACTGCGGACTCCACCAAGACGTTCGACTCAGGCTACTTCTCATCTTTCTCCGAGGAGACCAGCCTCAAGCCCTCGGCTCATCGCGGCTCGATCTCATCAGTAAATACTACCTCATCTGCGGCGACCAACAGCACCTCGGATGCAATTGAGATTCGCGTCACGACTGTGACGACCAAGATCACCACCAAGCTTGACACCATGCAACGCCAGTTCAACAAGCCAACTGAGGAGGCCACCGTCGAGGAGCTACTGGCCCGCCCTCCCCTCAAGCACTCCCTCAGCCACTATGTCAAGACCGCCCGCGACAGGCGCATGCCGACGGTGGACCCTGAGGAGGAACGGAAGCGGTTGGAGAAGGTGAAGGCTGAGCTGTTGGCCGCGAAGGCGGCATTCGATCTGAAGATTTAACAACTTCAGCGACTGGACAGGCAGCAGCAGGTTGTGGGAAGTGTCGACCTTTCGTCGCGACCACTTTCCATCTCACCTTGCCACCTTTGCAGGATGAGAACTTGGGTTTCTGGTTACGGGCAAGCATCTGACAAGCGCCTGGCAAGCGCTTTGGCAGATCGTGGATTTGCTATCGCTAGCGACAGTAGCGAGCGAGCAAGCGACCATGGAAGTCCGTCCCGTATCCGATTTTGGCGGTTCCTGTTTGGGATTTTCTTCTTTTCGATTCTTCATTCAGCAAGCGACTTCGTTTAGCTTCTTTTCGACCTTTTGGGTGGATGTTTGGCGCATCGCCTCAAGGTCTTTCTTGAGATACCTATTTCCAACCTTTTTTTTCTTCATATCACCTTTTGAGATACCACGGCAACCATTGGCGGGAAGGATAGACTTCTCCGTTTTCGATTCTCCTATCAACCTAGACCTAGTCTTGGACCGGCATCAGCCAAGTCAAGTATAAACTAGACGGACATAGATAAGGGAAAAACAGGATCATCATGTTGCGTCACCGAACAGACGGCGGCGTTAATGGAAGTGTTTTTGGGCCTCTTGTCAGCCACGACTGGAAGTAGAGAAAGTTTGGAAGAGATAAGAGATTGATGCAGAGAGGATTTTACATGCATCATGTAGAATTGGGGGAAAGCAGAGGGGAAATGGGAAAGGACAAAACACCTATAATCTGGTCTGACAGGAAGGGAAGGGGGGAAAACCTGAGCTTGGAATAATTTATCCAACAAGTAGGTAACAGGGAATGGAATATGCCTTCATAATGGCTCTTGAACAAACTTGTGCGCATCTATACCCTCTTCTAATCAAGGCGTGAAGCCAAAGTGAAGCCGTACGCAACAGCAGCGATGAGATTTCCCAGGTTTAGGAGCGACGAAATGCCGTGGAGCTGGGAGAAGCGCTTGTTGAGCGCAGTCATCTCTTGAGAGTGTGGGGGAGCATCGTAGCTCTTCTTGCCGTCCTTTGTTTCTGTGCAGTTTCAAGTATCCCGACGTCAGTAAAGCGAGTCAACTAGTCATTGCAACACGATTTGAATGGCTCAGCCTGGAGTTAAAGCAAGCTGCCCGCCCGCTTGCTGCCGCAAACCAGCACACCCGCTCATTCAAACTACAAGGCAAGTCAAAATCGTTCAATGTAAACTCACCTTGATGCTTCCTCTCCTTCATACACTTGGTAGTAGCCGGTCCGACCACCGCGAGATTGGCAACACCCGTCAAGAAGATGGCGGCAATGGGGGCCAGAACCAACCACCTGTTATCCGGGTCCAGAACGCCGACGATCCCAGCGGCACCAGCAGATCCAAACGCCGTTGTGGCGCCGGGGTAGGTCAAGGCGAGGACGATGGGGATGGCGGTTTGCATGGAGAAGTAGACGGGGAAGATCTTGGTCATGAGCGCGGAGAATTGAGGGCGGGGGAGGACTTGGAAGGAGATGATGCCTCCTACGAAGGACTATGTTAGGTAGGAATGGAGGTTAGTGGGGAGTAGCCGGTGTCATAATTGGGAGGGGGCCTACGTGGAAGAATGTTGTCCAAGTAATGTGCCATAACTGAAGGGAAGAGGATGAAGGTGGTTAGCAAGTTGACATATGGAGGCGAGGAGGCCCTGGGGTGATGTCACTAACCTTATGATATGGTAAGGACCTGGGGAGAGTAGACTTGAATAGGACATGTTGATTACTGAAAGTCACACAAGGAACAGAGACAATAAGGTTTATTCAAAGATCAATGTTATCGCCAGCTTCTGATAGCCTCATAAAAATGGGATTGAGGTTCAAGGGATGAAGTTGGGAAGGAACGCAACACAAGAGAACTGAAACATCCCATCACGCTCTTATGCATATACATTAGTGCATGCACAAAGCGGAGCGAGCTCATCGCTTGTGCGCAGCTACGTCACCGCTATCGACCAATCAACTGTTAGGGAGAGCTTCAGATAATGGCTAACGCGAGAACATGTGCCTTCGCGCAAGCACACGGTGTATTGTAACGTAATACACATCACCGTCAAACGCCAACTCCAATTCCCGTTACACCGTGTCATTGCTCCGACCCGTCGCCCCGTCTCCAACCCTGGCGATGCTGCCTAGAATTCCACCTCACCTAAAATGAATGTGAAGCGAACGGGCCACACAACGAAGTGATGCCTTGAAATATTTTTCGTCGAAAATTTCTGTCTTTTTCTCTCTTAATTCGAACTTCAGATCACATCATCATCACCAATTGCTTCTGTAACGAACAGCTCCCTCTTTCTTCACAATGGCGGACAAGGAAGCCATCGTCTATGTGATGGACCTGGGCAAGCCCATGGCGGACTGCCACAACGGACGTGACGAATCCGACCTCGACTTCGGCATGCGCTACATCTGGGACAAGATCTCAACCACCGTGGCCGCCAGCCGCAAGACCTGGAACGTAGGCGTCGTGGGCCTCAACACCGATGAGACAGACAACAACGAAAACAGGGAAGAGTACCAGGGCTACGAAAACATCTCGGTCCTCCAGGAGCTGGGACCCATGTCCATGACTTCGCTCAGGGCATTGAAGAGCCAAATTGAGCCTTCCGAGACCTCCAGCGCGGACGCTATCTCGGCAATTGTGGTTGCTCTCAGGATGATCCAGGTGTACACCAAGAAGTTGAAGTATAAGCGGAAGATTATCCTCGTGACGAACGGGGAGTCGCCTATTGATGATGATCAATCTGAAGACGTAGCGGCCATGCTTAATAATGTGGGGATCGAACTTGTCGTGATGTGAGTGTTCGGCTTCCATTGGAGACCTTCTCTGTTGCTTGACAGTTAACCATCGTGTAGCGGTATTGATTTCGACGATGCAGAGTATGGCTTCAAAGAGGAAGACAAGACACAACACAAGGTGGGGCGAACACCACACGGCGGCAAACAAAACATACTGACTTTTTCCAGGCCGAAAATGAGAGGATTCTCAAGACGTTGGTTGACCTCTGCGAGAACGGCGAGTTCGGCACCATGGCCCAGGCAGTGGAAGAACTCGCCATTCCCCGAATCAAGCCCGTTCGGCCTTTCAAGGCATACGATGGCCCCCTGACGCTCGGAGATCCTCAAAAATACCCGAGTGCTCTGAGTATACCAGTTGAGCGCTACTTCAAGACCAAGCGAGCAACACCTCCGTCAGCGAGCAATGTCGCCATCCATACTGGGCCGCCTCAGGCAGAGGTTATCGACGAGGACAGCGGCGCACCGATGAGTGGTGTGGAGTTTCAGCCAGTCAAGCAACTGCGCACATACAGAGTTGATGATGCCAAGGCAGCAGGAGGGAAGAAAGACATCGAGATGGAGGACCTTGCCAAGGCATATCAATATGGGAGGACCGTAGTCCCCTTCAGTACAAGCGAGGAGGATTACGTGAAGTACCAGACAACGAAGAGTTTCACCATCATCGGCTTTGTCCCCATGAGCAGCGTAAGTGATGTTGGAATTTTGTCTTTTATGACAAGGATCGCTAACGAACATACCCATAGTACGAACCATTCATCAACATGGGAGAGACAGGCCTCATTGTTGCCCAGAAGGTTAATGAGCAAGCGGAGCTCGGCTTGTCGGCTCTTATTCATGCTTTACATGAGCTTGAGTCTTACGCGGTGGCCAGGTATGTCAATAAAGACAAAGCGGCACCACAAATCCTTCTTCTCAAGCCAAACCCGGCAATCGAAGACGATGTTGAGTGCTTGTACGATGTCCCACTACCGTTTGCGGAGGATGTCAGAAGTTATCAATTCCCTCCGTTGGACAAGGTGTTGACCATTACGGGCAATGTACTCACGGAACATCGCCTTCTGCCCAACGATGATTTACAGCAGGCGATGGGCGACTATGTCGATGCAATGGACCTGACCGATTTCGGGCAGGATGAGGATGGGTAAGTGCTCCGGTTCAATCTGGTGTATTTGGTTCATGCTAACCGAGCCGCAGAAATCCTGCGGAATACGCGCCCATCGATGACGTCTATAACCCCGTCATTCACCACATGAACCAAGCGACCCGCAATCGCGCAGTGAACCCCGAAGCTCCCCTACCACCCGTAGCCGATATTCTCACACGCTTCACGCATCCGCCTGAGCCACTGATAGCTAAGGCCAAGTCAGAGATCAACGGATTGATAGAAGCAGCAGAGGTCAAGAAGGTTCCACCAAAGGTGCAAGGCAAACGCGGGAGGAAAGACACCGTCAAGCCCCTCTCCGGCTTGGACATCGACGCCCTTCTCGGAAAAACCCGGCCACGAGCGAAGAAGACGCCCATATCCGCGGAAAACGCGATTCCCGAATTCAAGCAGATCCTGGAAACAGCAGAAGACGACGAAACCATTGAGACGGCCGCCAAGCAGATGGGCGATATCATCCGCAAGCTTATCAGCGACAGCTTTGCGGATGTGCTGTACCCCAGAGCTGCAGAGAACCTGCGGGTGATGAGGGAGGAGCTCATAAGCATGGAGGTCCCGACACTTTACAACACGTACCTCACGGAACTCAAGGATAGCTTGCTTTCGGGTAAGTTGAATGGGGATCGAAGGGAGATGTGGTTTAGATGGGTTGTTGGTGGGCGCTTGGGGTTGATCACACAGGACGAATCTGAGGTGTCGGAGGTTGGTGAGGATGAGGCGAAAGCTGTGAGTATAACTTGGAACAATGGACCGGTGAACAACCTTGAGCTAACCCTCTTACCAGTTCCTTAAGTGAGCTGATCTGTGGCGTCCATTGTCAAAGTTAGATCCGCGGCGCGCTGCTGGGAGGAACTCGGGGGTCTCGAACGTAATTACAATTTGCGATCCGGTTTATACCACATTCGGACGACACGGAAGCAGAGGAATCAATCTTCCAGAAGGAGATAAAGTCAAGTGACACAAGGTCATGTGCTGTGGTACAATAGATTCAGAGTATGGGGCTTGCAGTTTTGCTGCCCAACGTCTCGTTGTCCACTGATTTGGGCCACCTCAGTACGCCCATTGAATGTGAGGACTTTACCGAAAGCCTTGCTAAACGAGGTGCAGGCCAATGTTTCTCACAGCATCTCTTGATTGGAGTCTTATGGTTGTCACGTCTTTTGTAACTGATTTGTTTACTTTCGTCGCTCCCCCCATCTCTGGTCCGGTATGCACAGTGCCAATTCTGTCACCATCCATGCAGACCTAACAGCGACTCACACTTTCAAGTATCCAACCGTTTGCATTTGAATCTTTCCATTTCATTACCAGCAGTCATGAAGCTTGTGATTTGGCCTGTAACACTTGCCTAGGGAAACGTCCTTTCCTTTTCAAGGAAACGTCCGATTGATCATCTTGCCAAGCGGGGTATTGTTCCTTTGTGAACACTGCAGCGGGGTCGCGGTAGGCCTCAAACCATCACCGCCTCAACGGGCAGTTGCGATTTTGTTTACTTATCCGTGCTCGCTCCTTCCACTTTCATCCTTTTCTAGTCTCTGGAGCAATTACTCAGTCACCCGCCGCCGCTCACTCGCACCTTCCACGTTGGCTGTAAGTACCGCTAAAGACCATCATCCTTTCGAAAATGGAGGTGCCCAAAATCCGTTTTCATCGACTGACCCTCCATCTGACAAAGTAGATTTCGGATGAGAAGTCTGGACGGCACCAGGCACTTCCCACTCACTCCTATTGTGTCTGCCTAGGATCGGTTGTGAAGGAGTATTTATATTTCCCTCGCTCACCATTTTCTCCAAACTATCGTTGTCCTCCCGAAAATCGATTTAGCGCAAATCTTCTGCCCAGCAACGACACCTAGTGAGACGATTGCGCGCGCAAGCCACCTTGGATCAAGCGCCGCTCTCTTCTTCCTTTCACTCAAACTTGTACTCTTCTACGCTCTACGCGTAAGTAACAAATTCTGACAGGGATATCGAGCGTGGAATCCCCCATCCGCTTCAAAAAAAATTAAAATTAAAAAAATTCTTCCCTGATCGGCCTCCCCTCACATTGCTGGTCCTGTCGCCATACTCCGAGAGACACCACCAAAGTCAAGATCGGAAAGAATTGTCAATGCTAACTAATCTGCTAGTCATTCCTACACGGAATATCGTTCGCCATCATGGATGACGAACAGTTCATGCAACAGCTGCGGAACTTGACCAGCCAAACCGTTGACTGGAGCGGTTTTGATCCTTCAAAGTGGCGCGACGAAGATATCGACTGGAACACTAGTGATGCCTCCCAGGGCAATAAAGACGACGCCTATGCATCCGACACTTCTATCCTCAGTGTCCATCACCTGGATCCTTCTCAGGTCAGATCTTCTACAGGTCCTAATCGTTTTGAGGACGTGACCGACGAGGGGGAGGAGTATTGCGATGCTTCGGACTTGGAGAGCATCAAGTGGCCGGAGGTTAGCGCGAAGCAGGGCGAGCACGATCCCATCACCGAACTCTTTACGCCTTGGAGAATGGTTCAGGAGTATCCCAACCTGTTTGTTGGCAAGCGCAATGGCCAGAGGGTGAGTCGAATCCTTGTGGTAAGGATGATTGTGACGCTAACTCTTCGACCCTCAAGGCTCGGCCTCTTTTTACGCTCGAGGGGCTACACGAGAATCGCATTTGGGATCTGTAAGTTCTGGAGGCCCCACTGCCGTTGCTTACATGACAGTATGCTAACATATTCCAGGTTCTATCTTTATCGACCGTCTGACGAGGGGAATAAGAGCCCCATAATCTTCGTCCCAACCTACCAGATGCAACACCTGCTCGACGTCATCAACAGAAAACTCGACGTAGAGTTCACGTTTCCTCGCGGACATCAAGACTTGTTTGCCATGCCGTTTGGGCAAAGCAACACAGCGAAACCGCGCTTTCTTGGCCGTTCCACATCTGCCCAGGAATGGAGCGAGCTTACAAAGAATGTCCCGGCGCGTAAGCCCGGAGACATCTCGGAAAAGGCACCCTTCCTTGCCAAACAGGAGCTAACCCGCCGCTTGAATAGCATCTTCTCACCCCAAGAAAAGGGCAAGAAGTCCAAGAACAATCAGTACAAACGATGCAATCTTCACCGTACTTGGGGAAAGAATGTCAAGAGGGTTCAGCGGTATCTTGGTCTCCGCCGCAAAGTTCAGTCCGTCCCTGAAGGGCCATTCACTCCGCTGAATCTCACCCAGCCTACTGGCATCGAGCCGGAGAAGTCGGTCTTGTTTGTGGCGATTGACCTTGAGGCTTATGAACTAAACCAAAGCATGATCACCGAGGTTGGCATGGCGATTCTTGATACCGCGGACCTCACAAATGCTGCCCCTGGAGAAGGTACGAAGAACTGGTTCGACCTTATCAAAGCACGCCATATCCGCGTCAAGGAGTTTTCATGGGCCACAAACCACAGGCATGTCCAAGGCCGTGCTGAGTACTTCGATTTTGGGTATGTGTTGCAGCCATTTCCCTTGTTCCTCCCTGGCCCCTGCCTATCCCATCAGAAATGCAAACCGCTAACAACATCCACAGTAAAAGCGAGTTCATCGAGGTCGCAAAGATCGCCGACGTGTTGAAAGAGACCATCGAAGTCGAATCCTCCGCGGGCGGTGATGGAGCCAAGCGCCCCGTAGTCCTCGTGTTTCACGATCAATCTGCAGATCTCAAATACATCCGCATGCTTGGATATGACGTGACCAGCGCGGACAACATCTTGGAGGTGGTCGACACTCGGGAGATGTATCAGTATCTCAGCCGCTCAAACAACGCCACCAAGCTTTCCAACGTCTGCTATTATCTCGACATCCCGTTCAAGAACATGCACAACGCCGGCAACGACGCAGTGTATACTCTGCAGGCTATGATTGGCTTGGCCATTGACATGCGCCAGAAGAGCTTGAAAAGGGCTGCTGCGAAGGCGGAGAAGGGGTAAGGCGTGAAACTGAATATCGCAGACAGGTCCAAGTGCTAATCTTTCATGTTCCTTTAGCAATGAGGGATACGTTACCTACTCCGAGTTCACCGAAAAGAAGGAGGACGTGGATGAGGGTTGGGTCAGCAGTGGAGAGCAGACTGATGGTGGCGAGCCGAACTATATTCCGGTGAGCCCCGCGCCTAAATTTGTCAGTGAGACACCGGGCGAGGATTGGGAGTTGTAATGGTGACGATACCATTGTATTCCCACCATCACTCCCAAGCGCGGCCGGTCAACTTGGAGGGCATTGCTGGTAATAAGGAGCGAAAGCAAAGCAAAGATTAGAAGCATATTAGCCCGGTGAAACGGACTGAGGTACAGGAATTGCCATGCAGGCATGTAATTCTAATAACATTACCTACCTTGGCACCAGCATGGATGGCATCAAGATACCCTTGAGCCTCAGTCGGAGCGAACATCGAACCAACACCTGGCGGGTCCGTTACGGACTCACCTAATTAAAGGCGTGTATACTAAGGAGAATCATCGGAAGCATACCAGTCCTTACGGCACACTCAACAGTGATCTTGATAGTACAAATGTTTTATTTTACAATGGGTATGTGATCCTTCAAATGCGAGAAACGTACATAGCCTCCTTCTTTTTCCATCCAAGCCACCCGCAAAGCCAAGAACCCGTCAACGCCTATGCTATGAAGAAATATGTATGTGTGTTTTTGTACTGTACAATGAGGGAGCCCCATCTGACCCGTGCCGCAGACCGACGGAGTTCGTCGTGTGAACCGATGCGTAGTGGTGAGCCGTACCATCACGAATGACGGGATGGTGCTGCCTACTGATATCCGGAACTCGCAAAAAGTAACTGATGTGGCTAGCCAGAGCTGCAACACTCTGACCTCTCAGTCCACCAAGATGGCACTGGTACCGTTGGAGAACAGGATAGAACAGACTGATCGGATTGGGAGAGTGGCGGCGTTGTAAGGATGTCATGTCTGTATTGTTCGTCCGCGTAAGACGCTCAGGAGCCTGGCCTCCCTCTTCCGTCGTCGAAATCGATCGATGTATCGCATCGCATCGCATCGCTTAGACGGTCTTCTCCAAAAACTCCTTGGCCTCGTTGACCTTGGTGGCCAGGTAAGGGCTGCCGCCACGATCGGGATGGTTGAGAAGCATGAGGGTGCGGTGGGCCTTGCGGATCTTGTCCTTGGTGATGGCGCGCTCGCTGTGTTGGAGAGTGGGTGTTAGTTACTGCTTCGTCTGGTTTCGTCCCGTTGAGTTGACTCCAGGATAGGCTTTGAGGTTGTGTGGGTGTGTGCTTGCGGGTGTATGTGTGTTCATGGAACAGGAAAGGAAGGATATGTATGTATGGGGTAAAGTTGGTAGCCAGTCGAGCAGGGCATAGAGCATGAGGGAAGAAGCAAGGCAATGTAGGAGGTATGTGACAACAACGACGACGACGACGACGACGACGACGACGACGACGACGACGACGACGACGACGACGGGAACAGAGAGAACAACATACTTGAGAGACAGAATCAACGAAGCCTCCTTCTTGTTCATCCGCGGCTCGAAACCACCCTTGTAGAAAGCCTTGCCGAGAGCGCCAACGCCGCCGCGCGAGCGACGCCATGCTACGAGACCGGCGCGACCCTGTTATTGTAGATTGGTCAGCATTGGTTCCCTTTCTTTACGTGGCTTGCGCTCGGCATTTGTTTATGACGGCTTTTGTTGTTGGTTGACGGTAGAAGTGTTATGAGGTGCAATCGATGCCTGCCGGAGCGGGATCCATTCGCGAAGTTGCGTCGGGACGGGAGTAGGTAGGACTCACCAGGAAAGCAGCGACGGCAACACCGGCGCCAATAGCTACTGCTGACATTTTGAGATGGGGGTCGTGTTTAAGTTGTTATTAAGTATATGGAAGTTGGATGGTGTTGACGTCGTCCGGGGACTAGTAGGCTGTAGTCGGTGGTGATCGAGTGCGGGTGGGTGGATTGGACTTGGAGGGCGGCCCGGCGTATGTACGGATACACGGGTGGAATGGAATGGATGATGGAGTTCGGTGATGCGAGAGACGGGACGGCGAGGTTTGCCCGGAGTTGAAGCGAACTTTTTTGCCGGCAGCGGCAACGTATCAGCCCTGTTTTGGCGGGCGTTATCGGCTTTGCCGCGGTTTTGACGGCAGGCAACGGCGCGCACCTTGAGCGCTGCCAAGTATTTGGGAGCGGAATGTAACTGAAGGGATTGTACGACCCGGTTTAGTGCATGACAACCTAAAGGCTCCTATCACCACTGTCGTCGCCGTCCGATTACAATGGTTATGTGTTATTCAAGCACTGCTCCCACAGTTCACAATTTTCGTATAAAAGATCAACGGTTATTACTCCACCATATACGCGTCAGTGTCGATGGCTCCGTGAAAGAGACTATTCCTGTATGCATCAACCCCACATAACAGATAGTAAAATTCCGAGAAAGGAGGACCGTCTAACACTTCAAAAGAGCCCTCATCACAGCCTTTTCTGAGATCGCTAACCAGCTCTGCTTCTTGCCATCTATATGACGGTATCGCAGTCCAGATTTCGCTCAAAACCTGCCTGATTAAGGATTCTTGTTGTTGTTGTTGTT